CTACCCCTCCCCCTGCCACTCCCCCTTATTCTCCTGTCTAAATCTCTGGTTTCCTTCTTTTATCCCTTCTGTCTCTAATCTTTCTTTTTTGTCTCTTTCTCTCCCTCTGTGTATCTCTGTCCATCTTTCTATCTGTGCGTCTCATGTCTGTCATTTTTGGACTCCCCCTTGCCCTCTGCCCCGGGCTGTTTCTCTCTCCCTGTGTCTGTCTGGGCCTGTTTGTGAGCATCGCTCCCATCCCACCCCATGCCCCCTGTGGACCCTCCTCTGACCAGGGCCCTGCACACGCTCCGAGCTCATCTAGGCCCGAGCTTCCATCTCAGCATGAGGACTCCTCCCACCGGCTTAGCTCTGGGCGTGCTCAGTGTATGCTGAATAATTAAAGTTGTAATTAAAGTGTAAGTGCAAGTATAATTAAAATTCACTTTAGTGGATCCTGAAATTATGAAGCAATTAGGTATTGGATGTGGCCCGGCAGGAGCAGCTGGAGGAGAGCTGCTCCCATCCTCCCTGGCCTGGCCCTGCCCACCGCGCTGACCCTAAGCAGTGCCCCACGTGCCTGGGGCTGGAGGAGCTGCTGGGCAGAGGGCTGGTGGCAGCTGGGAGCACTCATGCAAGGGCAGGGGACTCTGCCAGCTGCTGCTCCGCCCTTCCTAGCTACGGGCCCACAGAAGCCCTGGAGACCCCCGGGAGGCGGGGGAGTGTTAGGCCGTATTGCAGGCCTAACAAAGCAGTTATCTGAGGATGTTGGGGCAGCAAGGCGATCAGAAGCATGTCTCTGTCCGTCCCCCCCTCAGCACGCTTTGTGTGAGCCAGCATGGTGTCTGGTCCATCGGCAGGTCCCTCCTGGGTAACAGGCGCCCCACACATCCTGGGGCGTGTGTCTAGCCCAGTGGTCAGCAAACTGCAGCTCGCGAGCCACATGTGGCTCTTTGGCCCCTTGAGTGTGGCTCTTCCTAAGCCTTAGGAGCACCCTAATTAAGTTAATAACAATGCTGAGTCCCACAGTGCCCTGGTCTGGGACTCAGCTCTGCAGCGCTCGGCGTGCTCCTGCCTGCGACAGAGGCCTGTCCCCGCCACCACGTCTGTCACGCATGCTGCCCCTTCCCCTTCTCAGGAGAGCGAATCTGTGCACAGCGAACAGCCACCGTCAGTATTGGACTGCCCTTGATCAGGTGCAGTCAGTGTCCTGGGAACAATTGATTCTGCCCAGGAAACACCGGGTCCCTCCCCCGGCGGGCGGGGATGGAGTAGTTCAGCCAGATGGGAGCTGGAAAGAGCAGCATCCTAATCGTGCCTGGTCTTTGCCCCCGAGTGACGTGTAGCGGCATTGAGATTCAAGTGGTCTCACGCAGGGAATAGTGCTGCACAGCTAAACCCCACGCCGGAGGCCCAGGAGTGAACATGGAGAGGGAGGAGCGAAGGGCTGAGAGTGAGCCCTGCAGCCAGGAAGCCGGAGTCCCGGCTGCAAGGACTGACTTATGAACACCTGCCCCACGGTCATCGCAGAGAGCACATAGAGGCACGTGAAGGACTTTGTACACCACAGAAACGTAGATATCTTACTATTGCCAACATTCTCATCATGACATGTTTGCAAAGTCATAGGAGTTATTCAGGATGCAGAACAGACATTTCAAGCATTAGCTCCAGAAATCCTGTAAAGCAGTGAGAGGGAGCCGAACGCTCGTCCCAGGGCCTCCTGGCTACACTAGCCATGCCCGCTGGGCAGGAGCTGGGAACCTGCTCTCGCCTCAGTCCTCTCATCTGTAAGGGAGGAGAGTAACAGCCACCTCCGGGCGCCACTGAGGAGCAAGTGAGCGGATATGCGTAGAGCCCTGGGCCATCACTGCTTTAACTGGTTACCACCACCACTGGCCGCTGTCCCTGTATCAGGCCAGGTCCACACAGCGTGACTGGCCCCCGGTGGCCGGCCTGGTAAGGCTGTGGGCGCACCCCACAAGAGGCAGGCAGGACCCCGCCCTGGGGTCAGACAGAGGAGCCTGCCTCCTGGGGGTCACGTGTTGAGATTGGAGGGTGCTCTGAAGAAAAAGGGAAGAGGGAGAAGAGCCTTTTGTACCTGAACTTAGATTTCTTCCTGGCAGATTGGAGGACAGTCGGGGGAGGAATTCTATTCCGTGTCTGTGTTGAAGGAGATAAAAACGTACAGTTACTTGGTCCAGAGACTGACTGGCCCTGTGCCAGCCGGGCTCTTCCTGCCCCCCAAGCACTGCCCGAGAGCCCCCGCCCCCCAGCAGTGTGGGGTTCCCGCCCGGTCCACCACCCGTCTGAGCCTTTGCCCGACCCGCCAGCCTCCGGGCCGCTGGTCAGACTCCACCAGGTGGACCAGATGCGCACGGAGGCCATGCTGATGAGCTGAGGTCTGTCAGACGCTTCACTTAGGTAACAACCTGCCCCGACATTCAGCAACTTCGCACGTGGAACATGGATAGGCTCGTTTCTGCGGTGGGGAATCGGGTGGGCTCGGCCGGGTCCTGAGGTCAGGGTCGCACACCCTGAGGTCTCGTCCAGGCTTGACTGGTCAGGGCCACTCCCAAGTCACCCACATGGTCCGGGGGGACCAGAGGACACAGGTCTTCCCTGGCTGCTGGCGGAGTTGCCCTCGGTTCCTTGCCTCCCAGAGGCCCCTGGCAGCTTCCCTCCTCAGGGAACGATCCAGGAGCCGAGGGAGCAGACAGACTCGTGGGCTTTGTCACGGAGTCTCCGAGGCCTGCCGTCGCCTGTGCGCCTTATTGAGCAGCAGCAGGTGGGTCCAGCCCAGCGTCGCGGGGCGTGAGCGCCGGGAGCCATTGGTCCCCTTGGCGCCGCCGCCCATTTACAAAGTCACCTCTGTAAAGCGATGCAGCTTCTGCAGCAGAGACGCTGA